CCAGAGGACAGGGCTGATAGTTGCACAGGAAAACTGGGTTTAAGACTTCATGTATGGTTAGATTTAAACATCACTCCATTTAGCAATCTCACCAGGGGGGCTGGGGCCTGCAGGTGATTATGGAGGGAGGATCATCCTCTTCTGTCTTCCCTAAACCAAGCACATCCTGGGTCTTTGTGGGGGTTAAATTCATATTTACACAAAGGTTAAATTCTTACTTCAAATCTGAATCTGGACTGAAAACAGAGTATGAAGGCTGAGAGCTGTGTCTATGTTGGCTGCTTTTCTCTCTGAGGCCAAAAAAGGCCATGACACCTGCACTACTTAGGGCCTGACAAGGACCCCTCATGTACAGCCCCTTGTCACGCAGCTCTGTCCGCTCTGACCCAGGTCTCTCAGGTGTCTCTCTGTCCAGCAGCTCCCTCATTTGGGAGTCTCAAAATGACGAGTACTCTGCCTTCTCTTAGCCTCAAGCCGGTACTCTGTTATTTGTGAAATAATAATTCAGACTTTATTAACTTTATCCATAGCCTGGTCAAAATCATTCAAGAGATGATTTTGAGCACTGGCTCAGGGCCCACCTAGATTCTCTCCAAACCCTGAGTTTCTCTTGGAAAGATAAAACACTATTTCACTGTTAGCCACTTTCCCACAAGTATGTATTGAGCTCCGGCTGTGAGTCAGGCACCGAGCCAGATGTTAAGTTTAAATATGACAAAAATGGAAGTGGGAAGGGAAGGCAGAAAAGAAAAGGGGAGAGATTAATTTTAAAACCTTGTGTAATTCCTAGGAAAGACCCCGATGCCTCCAGGTCCATTTATTCAGAAGTGCAGCAGAGGGAGCCAGCACGGGCCACAGTCCTCCCCTGGACAGAAGTAGCCCTGGAGCCTCACTTCCTGTCAGGCCACAGGGACCCTGTGTTCTAAGCTCAGGAGGAAAATCCTGTGGAGCCATCACCTGGGAAGAAGAATGGAAATGTGCTCACACACATGCTCACACCCTGTGCCAAGCAGAGCCGCTAACGCAAGTTCAATATTCACAGTTGGTTTGCCGTTGGCCCTGAAAATAGTCAAAATAGTCAATCCTGAAGTTACTTAATTTTGTCTTTTCTTTCCTAGTCCATTATCCAGGTTATTTTATTCATTCATAGGTAGTTTTTTTGTATTCCATCCAGATTTCTCTTATGCTTGTTAATTTTAGTAATTATATTTATAGAATATGTGTGCTAGTAATATTGTCCCCAAAGATACAAGTATACAGCAGCAGAAAATGTGTGGGCAGAAAAGGGACACATGTGACACACGTCAATCTTCTCTCTCCCACTGCCATCACCTTCCCTCCACTTCCCTTCCAAATCCCCCTCCCAAGGAACTCCTGTCTGTCCTCCCTGTTCATAGGGTTTGCTTTGTGAATTTCTCCTGCTTCCTTAAGAGGATAATAGCAGATTATAGATTCTCCTTTTATTTTGTTTTTTATTGACTTATTTATCCTGGAAGTCACTCCATATCTGTCCATGAAGATATTCCTATTTGTACAGCTGAGAGCTACACTATTGTGTAGAGATGACAAGTTTTTCAACTTCAATTTTAAAAATGGACCTTTTGTTTTTTAAATTTCAGATTACTCCAAAGTTCCACATAGTTAGGTTACAGTGTATGCACTTCTAAGTCCTTGTAGTTGTGTCCCAAACCAGGAGGTGTGCCATGTACCCTGACATTGTGCCCATGAAGTGGAGCACAGCAATTCTCTCCCTCCTCCCTTCTCCCTCCTCCACTTCCTCCCAACTGGAATTGAATTGAGTGTTTCTCCTATGTGGGAATGCACTAGATGGTCTCCTGGCTTCATATTAGTACTGATTACACTGGATATTTGCTTCTCCATTCTTGTAATACTTTACTAAGAAGAATGTGTTTCAACTCCATCCTGATTAGTACAAAGGGTATAAAGTCTCCATTTTGTTTTTATGACTGAATAGTATTCCATGGTATACATATGGCAGAGTTTGTTAGTCCATTCCTAGTTCTGGGCATTTAGGTTGTTTCCACATCTGTGTGTCTCTTTTTTATTTTGTGTTCTGTCTGTTCCCCATTTTTTCTTTCCCTACTTTTCTGAAGGCTTTTATGTGTTGGAATGTCAGCCTTTTAAAATATATTATAAAATAGCTTCTCCTGGTTTTTCTTTGTCTTTTGATTTTGTTTAATGTTTTCATGGATTTTATTTATTTTTATTGAATCATCTGCATAGACATCATTGTGGAATTAAGTTAGCATATAGTTGTAGTATTTGAACATTAACCCCTTAGCTGTTTTCATTCCTATGCTACTTAATTATGATTCAAGGACCTTGGATGTCTATAACATTCATCCCTGGTTTATCACATTTTACACACATAACTTACTCTTACCACTTTCCAGATAATAAACAGATCTTAAAGACCGTAACTATTCCGTTCCTCTGGCTTCTTGTCCTTCCTTCACTGTATGCAGAATCCCCAACCAGTGTCCGTTCTATTCAGATTATAGGTGAGTGTCAGTGGTTCTGTCTGCTGTTCAAAGTCTGGTGTATAGTACTCCAAAACTTCAAATTGCTAGAATAGCATTTTATAAAATGTTTAAATGACCAGATAATTTACAAAAAAATATGAACTTCAGACTGATATGTAGAACTGAAAATAAGAATGTCTAGATGAACAGGATAAAATATGCTTTTCTATATTTAAAATGAAAAGTAGAAATTCTAGGGTGGTGCCTGTGGCTCAAAGGAGTAGGGCACCGGCAACATATGCCGAGGTCATGGGTTCAAATCCAACCCTGGCCTCCCCCCCCAAAAATGCAAAGAAAGTAGAAATTTTAAAAGGAAATATGTTTGCATACATAAGCAATTTTTAAAAATCATCTCCTGCCTACTGTGAAGTCCTCTTTCCTATACATTATCTCACCAAGGTGTTTCCATGGCTCATCTCCACATTTTTGCCACCATCTTGGGAATCACCAGTTTGAGCCTCAGGAATAAGTTTGCTCAAGATGAAATCTCCCACAGTCTAGTTTGACTGGTGTTGTTTACATCTGTACAGGCAAGACTGATAATAGCCAAACTTGAGGACCTTACAAAGAGGACAATTAAAGAATAATATCTCTCATAAACATCAACATTCAAAAAATGATTTTCTCTCTCCTTTTCTCTCAAATAATCCATCATAGTGATGTTGAATATACAGTGTGTCCATAAAGTTTGTGTACAAATCACTTCTGCATAACGCCAACACAATGATAAATCCAGGTGATCAGTATAATACACAACTCCATCTAGTCCCCAGGTCCATTCTAAATTTTGAGAATTTTTCCAGTAACATCTTTTCTAAACAAAATGATCATGCCATTCATCAATTATTCTATCAATTTTAATAAAATCAATCATTCTATATGTACATATGTATGTGTCGATATTGTATTGTTCAGCTTTTGTATAATAACGACTTGTAAACAACCACTCAGAACTCAGTGACTTATAATAACAAGCACTGTCCAATGTTCAGGGATGCTCATGGTAACGATTATCTACCTGAGTAAGGCAGGGCTCAGCTGGGGAGTTTTACTGCAGGTCTTTAACCCAAACACAGTGGCTCACACCTGTAATCCCAGTACTTAAGGGGCCAAGGTAGGTGGATTGCCTGAGCTCACTGGTTTGAGACCAGTCTGAGTCAGAGCAAGACCTGGTCTCTAACAAAAAAAAAAAAATAGGTCTTCAGCCTATGGTTTCCATTGACTCTAGGGCCAAAATACAGTATTTTCATGGAATGTTGAGGGAATGAGCAAAACGCACAAATCAAGCTGTACTCCCATACTATGAATTTAAGTAAAATAACCTCTAACAGAGATACAAATAAATTTATTCTTTCACTGTGGAAATTCCTGAAGTGTCTGAAAACATTCACTCCATTGAATTATCAAGGCATGTAACCAGTCAATGGGCAAATAATGAAATATTTCAATCTTTGCAAACTACACATTTTCAAATAGAATTTTATTAATTATTTAATAAAGCAAGGTGTGTCTTCAACATGTAGCTCTAAATAAATATTTTCTTAAATGGCCTCATCAGGAACAAATCTCTTTAAATCTCTCTAAAACACAGCTTCGTAAATTTTCTGGATCACCTGTTACAACCTGGCATCCAGTGGGTCCAAGGTGAGCCTGCTGCCTTACATTTGGACTATGCTCACAGTGATGCCGATGACCATGATGTCTTCTGGACAAATTTGGGGAGTGGGGTATCTTCATAGTAAGGAGAAAGAATGCGACAGGCACATTTAGGTGCAGTGGTTTGCCGGTTTGTCAAGAGGATTTTTTTTTCTTTGTATATCAAGTGATTGTTACATATTTGAGATGTCATTTACTCATTTTTTCTGTTTACTCTGTGACTTAGTGAAAGTTTCTGGCTATCATCCTAGACTTGGTCATAAAACTTGGAAGGACATCTACATGTATTCAGGGGCCATCCTCTAAGTGGACAGATACCCAGAGTAAGGAGAGTAGTGACTAACGGGCCTGTCAGCTGTCAGCTCTGCACCACCACAATCACTTAAAAGCATGTTTCTCTGAACCCTTTTGGTTTTCTGTAGCGTTTCTGAAGGATGGGTCCTCACATCACATATGGAAATGTAAAGGATGATTTAGTATTTATTGAAACCTGCAGGCAGAAACGGGGTTGGAGCTGGGGGGTGGAGATTACCTGATGAGGTGCACAGGCAGCTGAGAGCATCAGCACCCCCACCCCAGCTTCCCACAGGTCTGAGGACCACTTGGTCAGGCAGCCCACACCTTCAGGGGCAGAGGCACTCTGACATGAGCGTGTCCACCCATTTCCAGGCCCTCCCTTCTAACATGCCCCAGGATTTGTAGGATTGTATTTCAGACACTAATTCCCTTAATTAAACAATTCTTGATTCAGTGAGTCTCGAGTGGTTTTACTAGAGAAATACGAAATGATGTGGTAAGTCAGACCTGTAACAACTTCGCAATAAAATTAGGAGAGATATTGTCATTTCTCCATTGCTGGGGCTGAGGACAAAGACACAATGTTAGAGCACAAAGCGGCCTCGCTGGAGGGCTTCCCTCCCACCTGCTACCAAAAGTCTCCATGGGCCTGCAGAACTTTCTGCCTCTGAGAAATGCTCTCAGCAGATAGAGGCACCAGGAGGAGCAGCTGGGGCTGCCCAGCCTCACACACCTGCTTCCCTGGGGTGGTTTATGCTATGACTTGTAACACTGTGTGAGGCCAGTCATTATACTGCAGACAGTAATAATCTGCAACATCTTCAGCCTGCAGGCCACTGATGGTCAGAGAAAAATCTGTCCCTGACCCACTGCCTCTGAACCTTGATGGGACCCCGGTGGCCAAATTAGATGTATCATAGATCAGGAGCTTAGGAGATTTCCCTGGTTTCTGCTGATACCAGTTTAAATATTTGCTAATGCCCTGACTGGCCCGGCAAGTGATGGTGACTGTGTCTCCTAGTGATGCAGACAGGGAGGATGGTGACTGGGTCATCTGGATGTCACAACTGGCACCTGAGATGGGAAAAATAAAAATCAAATATTCACACAGTTAATCAATTCTTAGGAGGACTTCTCTAAAGACCCAGGCAGGACTGACCACACTCTTAGTAAATCCCTGGTGTTCTCCCTTCTTACCTGGGAGCCAGAGCAGCAGGAGCCCCAGGAGCTGAGCGGGGGCCCTCATGTCCATGCTGTGTCCTGATGGGGACTGACTCCTACACTGGGTATGACCAGACTGTTAATAAGTCTCCAAGGAAGGGGGCTGTGCCCTGGGAATGCAAATCAGTAGAGAATGGGTGCTGGGCACAGCTGCAGGGCTGGCTCATCTCAGTGACTCAGGAAGGCTCAGTGTCCCCAGGTGTCCCAGGGCAGACCAGGGAAGCATAGATTTGCCAATAAACAATGTCTTTGTCCCTGGAGAATGTTTTGCTGAAAAGGACATTTGGGGGCACCTATTGTTAAAAGTGGAAGTGAATGAGAACTAAAAATGCAATCATGTATTTCCAAGTTAGATTGGAGTGTTTAGGTGAATATCCTTTTTATTTATTTATTTATTTTACACTTTGTGGCCAGGGCTGGGTTTGAACCTGCCACCTCTGCCATATGGGGCCAGTGCCCTACTCCTTTGAGCCACAGCTGCCTCCCATGAATATCCTTATTTATAAAGAATTATAACAAAGACTTATATGTAGGGCTATCAGGTAGTCAAGATATTGCCAAATGTTTCTACATAAGATTCTTGTGACCCCACACTGCAGCTCCTGCTGACCTTCCCAACTGAGTCTTCTGGTCAACATCCTCTTCATCCTCACTACACGGTCTCCCTTAATGATTATTTTTCCACAGGGAACTAAATGAGACCACCCATCCCCAAGTGTATATGGAGGGTAGATTCAAGTTTTCTAAACACACCCATGCCCTCCTGGGTTCACTTAGGGGTGTGTGATTTGACCTCAGGTTCATTTAAGCAGGAACCACATGAACCCTGAGTCACTAAAGCCTTAGAGCCCGGCTGGATGCACCACTTCTCCATGAGTTTGCAGTGTCATCAGGGCACAGCCTTAGAAGCCAGGCAGGTGTTCAATCAACTCTGTGATTGTTCCTGAGAACACATCACAGCCTCTACCTGGAATCATATCTCCACCCAATCCCAGCAGCATCAACACACCAACAGAGAAGCCACAGAGCTGGGTCCTGAGCCCACAGCTGACCTCTGCCATGTGCTTCATGTTCTGCTTTACTTCCTCTGCCAGAGTCTCAATCTTCTTCTTTTTTCCCTGGGAAATACTTGGATGCACAGTGATATGGTTCGGATATTTGGACCTTCCAAACAACATGTTGAAATTTATTTTTTTAATTTACGTCAGTTTTATTTCTGTATTTATTTAGTCTTATTTTTTATTTCAGATTACTATGAGGGTACAAATGATTAAGTCGCATTGTTTGCATTTCTAAGGTAAAGTTCAAGTTGCAGTCCAGCCCCTCCCCCAGGGGGTGTGCTCATACCCTCCACTGTGCACATGAGGAGAGAGCTCACCTCCTTCCTTCTCCCCACGCCCTCCTTTCCCTTTTCCCTCATTTAAATACACTCGTCTTTTGTTCTCAAGTGGGTGTGTAGTTCCTTTTCTATTGGTTTCACATAAATATTACATACATTGGATACTTCCTTTTTCATCCTTGTGACCCTTTTCAAAGAAGAATGTGCTTCAACTCCATCCAGGTAAATACAAACGATGCAAATACCATGGAATACTCTTCAGCCATAAATAACAGGAGATTTCACTGATTGAAATGTTGAAATTTGATCCCCAGGGCTGGAGATCATCTGGGAGGTGGTGGGAGGTGTTTGGGTCATGAGAGCAGATCCCTCTTAAAAGACTTGGTGCCCTCCATGGAATAATGAATCAGTTCTCACTTCATTGTTCACAAGAGAGCTGGTTGTGTTTAACAGGCTGGCACCGCCTCCTCCCTCTCCCCCTCCTTCTCTCAACTCAAGATAAGCCTGCTGCCCCTTCACCTTCTACCTGGATTGGAGCTCTCTGCAGCCCTCAACAGAGGTAGATGCTGCTGCCAAACTCTAGGTTCAGTCCGCAAGCCCATGAGCCAAATAAATCTCCTCTATTTATGAACCAGCCAGCTCAATTATTTCCCTTATAACAACACAAAATGTTCTAACAGACACGTTTCTTGCACTTATCAAAGTTCTGTGTAATATGACATGCTGTGCTCTCTAATTCATCCAGTGGTTCTTGGTTGTATTTTATAATGCAGCTTGGGAGTTCCAAAAGCACCATTTTGTTAAATTATACGTCAACCAGTTTTCATAAGGTGAAATATTAAATTTAACCATAAGGTTAAAAAGTTATGTTCAATAACTTTTGGTTCTAGGCCTTTCTTATTTGATTTACCAAAGCCTGCCTATTAGTGAAGAAAACAAGGACCTGAAATGGCTTTCTTAGCCATTCCCCTGAGATTAGGAATATAAAATCCTGTGCCTTCCCTAGTCCTGGAGAAGGATGTGTACTAAAAACAAGTGGGGGTGGGGGTGGCAAAGAGAAGACAGGCAGTGTCTGAACATCACCAAACATTATCCTGCTGAATGTAAGAGTAGCTGAGCTAACAAAAAACCACGAAATGTACCCTTATTATGCAGTCATGAATGGGCCTCAGTTTTGTGACTGCTATGATGGGTGGTAATAACAGTAATAACAATGATAGTAATAGTAATAAAACCAGAGTCAGTCTGGTGTTCTGGCCACCATTTCCTTGACCCTCTAAGCCTCTTCTGGGGTCAGTGCTGTGCGTGGGCCCCCTCTTGTGGTCAAGTGTGTGAGAATCCTGAGGGTATTTCCAGTGATTTGACATTCCCATTTCTAGAAAGATGCACAAATTCTTTTCAGCACATTTTCTTTTTCTTTCTTTCTCTCTCTTTCTTCCTTTCTTTATTTCTTTTTGGAGATAGAATCTGTCTATGTCTGCCTTTGTAGAGTGCTGTAGCATCATAGCTCTCATCAATGTGAAACTCTTGGGCTTAAGCGACTCTCAGTCCTCAGCCTCCGAAGAAGGTGCCACTACAGGGAACTGGCACAACTCCTGGTTATTTTTTTAATTGTTGTTGTTGCAGTTGTCATTGTTATTTATCTGACCCGGGTCTAGTTCGAAACCAACAGCCTGGGTGTATGTGGCCGGCGCCATAACCACTGAACTACAGGTGCCACCACTCTAGCACATTTTTCAAACATATTTTCTTCTGATACATATAACAAATCATAATTGGATGTCGGGTACTCAGCAAGCGGGCACATTAGACAGTGATGTGTAGTTTGCAGGAATGGTCTATGAGCTGGGATTTCCCCTCCATGTCTGGGATCCAAGTGCTG